TATTATAGAACGAAAACAGGCAACAACTCTAATGGCCCGACGCGTAGTGCTCGGGGTACTTGGCGATGTGTTCGAGCATCTCCGCCTCCTGGTCCTGCAAGTGGCGCGGCTTCTCCGCATACACGTCCTCGAACATCGTGTCGAGGGCCGGGATGCCCTTGGCCTCGGCCTTGGTGAGCGCCGCAAGCACGCTCGAGCGCTCAGCGTCCTTGAGAGCCACGTCACGCTCCTCCGACCACCAGCCTTGGTCCTATACACACAGCTGTCATGAGCTGGGATCGACAGCGCGACGCGTACAAGGAGGTAAAGCTTGAGACGGTTCATCGGGCAGTTGGTGTCCTTCCAGTGCTTGATCTCCGAGACGGCACGGTACCGCGTCGAGTCATCCGACGTCGAGTGGTGGCCCTGGCGGTACGACATGGTCTCGAGCAGCACGGGGCGGCCCTCGCTCAGAATCATCTCGCGCGCCTTCTTGGTCGCTTCGTAGACTGCAAAGACGTCGTTGCCATCGACGCGAATGACGGGGATGCCGTAGCCGGCACCGCGCGACGCGATACCGTCGCCACGAAACTGGTCCTTGACGGGCGTGCTGATCGCGTACCCGTTGTTGCGGGCAAAGTAGAGCACGGGGCAGTCGCGCGTCGCCGCAATGTTGAGTGCTATCAAAAATGTCATGTTCAGGCACGCGATGGATGAGGATGACGCACCGGCGTGGAAGTCGCCCTCACTGGCCGCGCCTTCACCAAAGTAGCAGACTGCAATGCGATCTTCCTTGGCGAGCTTGAAGCCGTACGCCGCACCGGCCGCCTATGTCGTTTGAGCCATGGTTGTTAACACGGTCGTGTTACCTGGGGCAGCTGCGTCGCAAGCGGCGAAGACACCGTTTGGTAGTTGAGCTCGCGCGAGCCGTAGTGCACGGGCATCTGGCGGCCCTTGCCGAGGTCGCCTTCGTTGCTGAAGAGCTGGTCGGCAAACTGGTCGAGCGTAAAGCCACGCCACATGAGAACACCGGCCTCGCGGTACTGGGCAAACACCATGTCGCCTACGCGCCGCGATGAGATAAGATGCGCTCAATAGCTTCAAGTGCGTACGGGGCTTGATGGCGGCGGCGCTGCCAAAGAGCGTGCCTTCTTCGCCAAACGCCGTCATGTAGAACGAGATACGGCCCTAGCCACGAGCGATGAGCGGATTCGCCGCAACACGCCGCACGTACCTGGCGCTGGGCGTCGTAAAAGACGTTGTCCATGCTCTACACAAGCCATGTTTGCATGAATATGAGCGAGGATGTGGACGTACGTTGAGGCGAATCATGTGCTTGTAGATCTCGACGGCGAGGTCTTCATCAATGCCTTCCGGGATCGATGCACCCTGCACAAGCTTGCCTTGCTGGTCCAAGACGCGGTAGGCCGGGATCACGTCGGCGTCCTTCGGGTCGACGACATGAATCTTGTTGACGTAGGGAACCGTCTGGCCACCCGGGAATTCGCCTACCGTGCATGATGCGGTGGATGAGGATGACGGCAAGATGCCGCATGCAAGGCCATGCTCGTACCGTGGCCGACAGTGGCCGAGAAGAAGCGGGCGGCGCGGGCGCGGGGCGCGAGCGACTTGGTGAGCAAGCGGAGGGCCATTCTACGGACGTGCTGGGAATTCGTAAGTGAGCTGCGCTGGCGTGCCTCGCTGCAATCTCGTATTAAAAATGAAATCTTGTGTTTTTTAATGTGCCAAATTGCCCTTTCGACATACAAACTATAGAGAGGCAAAGGGCAATATCGTTTGAAAACCAGAATATTAATATGCGCACCACCGGTGTACCTCCTGGTACCCGCAGCACCTTTTTAGGCGACGTGGCATCCGCATAAACCTGTAGAAATACATACTAGCGCACAATGCATGGCGTCATGAAACCAAACGCAGCACAGTACAGCACGCTAAAACCTCTCAGAATACATGCTCGGAGGGCGGTCCCACTCTGACCAAGGTGTCCTTGAACTTGGGGAAAGTCCCCGAGCCCTATGAGACAGAAGGCACGCAGATGGTTGCCGATCCCAGGCCGTGGCTTGCTGGCGGCAAACGCAGCAGGAACGGTGCCGTCGATGCTTGCGGATAGAGTAATCCAGTGCCGAGTCGGCTACCGTGCCCTTTTGTCAACGGACAACACAAGGGAATGGCGCACTTTGGCTGCTGGCATGCAGCAGGAGTGTCGAACGTTGACCGCTGCCCATCTGCGGAGCTGACTGGCGCACCTAGAGTCGTGGGTTGGGTCATCGCGTGGCGATGACTCATGAGATTTTTGAAAGGGTGCGTGAATGGTAAATACCAAGTCCGAGCGCAGCTACGCCAGTCTGGACGTCATGGGGCGGTTCGTACCGTGGATTGATCAAGTGCCACGGTCATTGCATGCGACGGCGCGCCTTTTTACTGCATTTGTTTTCGATATTTGCGACTTCACGCCTGCTAACTCTGCTAACCAACCATCGGCGTGTACTACACGCCTGCAAACCATCGGCATGCAGTACACGCCACTGCCACGGGAGAGGCTGAGAGTGCATCGTGGGTGGTGTCGATGTTTGTTTTACTTGCAGAACACGTCCGAGTTCTCCGGAATCATTGCGACGCCACAAAACAATATCCTTCCTGAATGAACAGACATCCATCGCAGAGCGCCACGGCCGCCATAATATTGTCGAGTCATTCTCATGCTGTGTCATTGCCATGTCTCCCTTGGTATACTGTCATGTTGAAAAGTTTGTCGTGCCGAGCACAGCTTCGTTCGGGGGTTAGGGCCTCGATTGCATCGTCCTGCGTTGTGTGGAATGAGATATATGTGAGCCATCTCACTCAACACCAGATATCTTCCTCGCGCCAGCACACAACACCAAGCCGCCCAACGTTTTTGAGCGCAACACGAGTGCATCATCAGCTGAGCTTCGGCTTTGGCAGGGAGCTCGAAGCAGCTCCCATTATGAGCAAAAGTTACGAACGACCAAGGTTGTGTGCCATGAAAGGCAATCACTGCAGCTGCCGTCGTCGTTGGTCAAGATGCTACCCGTGGTCGACGGCAAACTAGATACACCGGTGGAGCGACGAGCACGTTGGCGCAAATTTCGCGCCTTTTGGTTCTCGAGCCAAATCCTAAATGGACCCCACCAAACCTGATTTATCCAAAAATAGGCTTTCAGTCCTAAACGGCTTTATTGAATCGAGGGGTGCCCCCAGGGGTACCCCCATGTTCTCTTGGTACCACTGTTTAAAAAAGAGTGCTGCCTAAGTTAAACAGAGGCTATTTTTTATATTTCTTCAATGTTAAAAGTGGTACCCGTACCTTTTTATTGTTTTTGCCCTACCAGGGGTCTACCCTTCCCCCGCCGTTTGGAAACGCGAGTGGTCCACACAGCAAGCAGCAGGAAGCCGCCCGCCCACCATGTCGTCCGACGAAGAAGATATGCACTCGGAAGAGGAGGAAGACGAGGAGAACGTCGACCTCTCCGAGGAAGAGGAGGAAGAGGAAGAAGCGCCCTCGAAGAAGCGCAAGGGGAAGGCCGCCGACTCGAAGAAGAAGAAGGCCAAGAAGCCCAAGTACATGAAGTTCATCGACGACATTGCCGACGAAGCCTCCGGTGACGAGAGCGAGGAAGATGGGTACGACGAAGGCTACCCGGACGAGCGCCGCTTGGCGGAGCAGGAGGGCGAGGACCTCGGCGACGAGAGCCGCCACCAGTACCAGTCGCACCGCAACCGCGCTGCGTTCAACGAAGACAACCTCTCGGCCGAGGACTACATTGAGGGCCTCAAGAAGCGCCACAAGCAGAGCCGCCGCACGAACGACGATGGCGACGTCGAGTCGGAGGAGATCATGCAGTCGGCCGTGGCGCAGCAGTCGCTTCTGCCGTCGATCCAGGACCCGCGCCTCTGGGTCTTCAAGTGCAAGGTACGCTCCATGGACTGTCTGCGAATACTCACGAGGGTTTGCATGTAGCCGGGCCGCGAACAGCACTTGGTTCTCTCGCTCATGAACAAGTTCCTCGAGTTTGAGAAACGGGGCGAATCGCTCAACATCAAGTCGGTCATTGCGTCCAACTCGAAGGGCTTCATCTACGTCGAGTCGGACCGCGAGCCGTTCGCCAAGGAGGCCGTGAACGGTCTTCGTGACATCCAGTCGTGGTCCATGAAGCTCGTGCCGATCCACGAAATGACGTCGGTCCTGACCATCCAGAAGAAGAAGACGCCGGTCGTTGCGGGCGTCTGGGCGCGCTTCAAGCGCGCGGGCCTCTACAAGGGCGACCTGTGCAAAGTCATTGAAATCGTCGACAATGGCCTTCGCGTACGGTGCATATGCAAGCCTTCCGGTCACTAATGCATGTGGCTGTAGGCGATCGTCAAGCACGTGCCCCGTCTCGACTCGTCGGTCTTGAACGGTGGCGAGCCGACCAAGTTCAAGAAGGGCCAGCGCCCGGCGCTCAAGCTCTTTGCGCCCGGCGCGGTGCACTCGTCGGACGTGAGCCGCAAGCGCCACCCGCTCACGAGTACATACATCGTCCTATGCAGCCAAGTCATCTCATGCGCCGTGTGTAGACGAAATGATGGACGTGTACGACAATGACTGGTTCAAGGACGGTTTTCTCTACAAGGAGGTCAACATCTCGACGATGCTCAGCGTCGACGAAGTGAACCCGACGCTTGAAGAAATCAACAAGTTTAGCGTCTCGGCCGACGGCGACTCGGACAACGAGTCGTCGCATGTCTCGAAGCTTGACCTCGGGGACGTCGACGCGTGGAAGAACAAGGTCGATCTGACCAAGGGTGACACGGTGCGCGTCATCGAAGGCGATTTGATCAACCTCATGGGTGTGGTCGTTGGTACCAACTCGGGCAACGACACGGTCCGCGTGATGCCGCTTCACGAAGAGATCAAGGACACGATCCTCGACTTTCAGCTCAAGCAGCTCATGAAGATCGTCAAGGTAGATATCGACGCGTCTCGGAATAGCTCATGACGCCCATGATACTAGATTGGCGCGCACATCAAGGTCGTTTCGGGGCGCTACTCGGGCGAGACGGGTACCGTCGTGAGCATCGACGAGTCCATGGGTGCCCCCGTCGCCATCATCTTGGTCGACACGCAAGCCAAGGAAATCCAAGTCCGCGTTCGCGACATCCAAGAGTCGGCTGAAGTTTCGCAAGGCCTCGACTCTCTCAAGGGCAAGGAGCTCTACGACCTCGTGGCGGTACACAATGCATACCTCTAAGAGTCGTTATAACATCGGCGAATAGCTGCCGCACGGTGAAGTCGGTGTGATCACGCACGTCGGTCGTGACGGGTTTACGGTTCTGGGCCAGAACGGTCAGCCCAAGTCAATTGCGGACCAGGAAATCCAGCGCAAGCTCTTCTCATCGCGCGTCTCGGCTCTCGACAAGAAGGGCAACCACATCTCCGTGGGCGAAATGGCGCAGGTCGTGGACGGGCCCTTTGCAGGGCAGACCGGCACAATCAAGCACATTTACCGCAGCTACATCTTCTTGCACAACAACCGTGTGGTACGCTCTCTCTGCGTTTTACCAGCTTGTTGACCTTGATATCTAGACGTCGAACGCTGGCATCTTTTTGGTGCGCAACCGTCAGATTGAAATTGCCGGCGACAAGGTCAAGTCGTACGCGATGGGTGCGTCGAGTTTTGGTGGCCCCAGTGGCGGTGGTCGCGGCGACATGTTTGGCGGTCGCGGCGGCCGTGGTGGTCGTGGCGATTTTGGCGGTCGCGGCGGTCGTGGCGGCCGCGGCGGCGCGTCGTCGGACCTTGTCGGCAAGACGGTCAAGATCAAGCGTGGCCAATGGAAGGGCTACATTGGTATGGTCGCCGACGAAACCGAGGGCACGGTCAAGGTCGAAATTCACTGCAAGTCCAAGTGCGTCGAGATCGAAAAGAAGTTTGTCAACTTGGCCGGCGATCGCATGGGCGTGCACGTCGACAGCCGCCAGGGTGGTATGTCGACATCGTCGAACAGCTTTACGCCCATGGTCTCGGCCACGCCGCTGCACCACGGCATGACGCCGATGGCCACACCGCTGCACCAGCCGCGCACGCCGTCGCGGAGCTCGTACAGCTCGGGCGGTCGCACGCCGCGCGATGCGTGGTCGACGCAAAACGACGACGCGCTCCTCGAGTCCCACATGCCGCACGAGAAGGACATTACACACGGTATGCCGCCGTCATTTGATTGTTTGCCACTCAATTGGCATAATGTTGTAGCGTCGAGCTTTGGCACGCCGTTGGAGCCGGCCGTGTCGTCCGACTTGGGCGTTGCACCCACGTATCGCCCGTCCTCGTATGTAGCCACGCCGGGCAACAACAACAACGACATGCACAGCGTCTCGACCCCGGGTATGCTCAACCCGACAACACCAGGGTTCCAGCAAGGACCGTACACGACGCCGGGTCTGGCGCCGACCACACCGTTTGCGGCCACGCCGGGGCTGCCGCGCAACACGATGGCCCAGACGCCGATGCAGATGCAGACGCCGTACCAGTCGCAGCACTCGTTTGGCCCCACGACGCCCGGTCTGCACAGCTCGATGCACCCGACGACGCCGGGCCTGCACATGCACCCGACGACGCCTGGCATGGTGGGCTTCACGCCCATGAACCCTACGACCCCCGGTATCTTTGGTGGACACAAGGGCACGCCGGCGGCCGTGACACCCCATCACGGTGGCATTGGCACGACGCCGGCGCCGATGACACCCGCGGACCAGTTCCACTCGTACGACGGCGGGTACGGCCACGGCGGCATGTCGAGCGGTGGCCACGAGAGCTCGTGGCTGAGCAAGGGCGTCGTTGTCGAAGTGGTATCGCAGGGCGACTACTACGAGGCCGAAGGCGTCATCGTCTCGGTCTCGAACGACTCTTGTGTCTTGGACATCCGCGGCAAGAACGTGACGTTCCACATGGACAGTCTGAAGCACGTCATTCCCGAGAAGCAAGACAATGTCAAGATCTTGGTCGGCGACGAAGCGGGCAAGACCGGGTCGTTGATCGGGACGGACCCGCCGGATGGTATCGTCAAGATGGACGTGACGGCCGAAATCAATATTTTCCCGCTGAGCCACTTGGCCAAGCTGGCGATTTAGGTCAAGCGCCCAAAACGACAAGAATGATGATGAATATACCGTGTTTGCCTACAGCTTTTGGTTTCCATGATGACCAATGCTTTCGCTTCCATCTTCCGCCGACATGCAGTGCCACAACACATCGCGCAACATGGCCGATCGGAAAACAAGCAGTGGTTATGGACCGTTTAGACTCGAAAGTGGCGTCTTTGCCTGTGAACACGACAGCACAAGGCGCAACGTCCGAATCGACAGCTTCACATGTCAACGATACGTCACCAACTACTGCCTGTGAGTCGTTCAGCAGTGACTCTTGGCGATCGCGTTGGGCGGCAACAGACCCTTGCTCGCGAGCTGCGCCACGATCTTGTTGAGCTTGATGCCGCCGTTGCCATACGCATCGCACGACCCGCAGTTGTGCAAGCCGACGACGACATGGTCCTTGGCCGAGATGACGGGCGACCCAGAGCTGCCTTCGAGCGTCCCGAGGTTGTACGTGAACTCATCCTTCTGACACGACTTCAACGGCGTCGGGCCCTTGTCCATGTCGAAGCTCAGATTGGTGACGACGCCCGGCACGTTGTTGGCGACATACGCCGACACGCGCTTGCTCCAAAAGTTGGGGTGGCCCGACACGTACACGTGCTCGCCGAGCACCGGCCCGGATGCGCGCACCTGGAGGTAGCCCCACTGGCTCAAATCCACGCCGTCCTTGACGTTGAGCTTGAAGAGCGCAAAGTCGTTGGCTGTGTCCGACATGACAAACGTAGCGTTCGTTGCGACGATCGTGCCCTTGCAGGCGTCGTGAACGTTGTGCTGGCTCACATCGTCGCAGTCGCACTCGGCCCCCAAGTCGACTTGGACTTCGCTCCCGTCTTCTTTGATGCCGACGCAGTGCTCGTTCGTCATCAGATGGCCCTCGGACCCAATGAGCCACCCCGTGCACTTGGAGATGCCTTGGATAAGGAGCCGGGCGACGGCGCGGCTCGGCGCGTGCATGCTAGTATTGCGGTAGCAGGAAGCGGGTCGCGTCAAGTCTTCGCCACACATGGATTCAGTCACCACGGCACGGTGTCCAAAGGCCACCTTGTCGATGACAAAGACGGGCGTCGACTGCGCTTTGTAAACCGGTGCGTCGTACGTAAGGGTCACGGCGTCGCCCGCGAGCCACTCGGCGAAGAAGCTGCCGCGATGGTCGCCGCCGGCAAATGTCACAACATCCTTCCCGCTCTTGTCCACGAGGCGGAGCGTTCCGTTGACTGGAATGTGAAGACTCTCAAAATGCACCGCCACGTATGTGGCCTTAGGCTTCTCGATGACGTGGCGGAATGGTGCGCCGCCATCAAAGGAGAGCGAAAGCGGCGAGAGGGCGCCGGCCGACCCGACGGTCGTGGCGGCGACGACACTGAGTAGCGCGAGAAGACACGTTTGTACGAGCAGCTGCATACGGCTTATGTCGTGGATCGCAAATGCCAGAATGAGGTTGCTATTACAATGGAAAAATGGGTTTGTGGGTGTTGGATAATATCTGACCGAAATCAGATCGTACGTACTCAGACATCACAAATCTATGAACGCGACCAATCTGAATCTGAGGTTGGTCTCTGAGATGCACTGCATTTTCCTAGACGGTATCACCAATCCGTGCCTTGACGGTGTTGCATTTGGTGCCAGAAAGCTCGCGTCACGGTGTGTGTCATTAAATGCGTTAAAAAGACGAATGACATTCAAAGCTATAGAAGGCAACGCATCTCGACGTCAAATTTGATGTGGCAACTACGAATTGCTGCGCGTCGACGCTTCAAAGTTGCATGAGGTCGTCGCACAACGCGACCTTGTACGCAATAGCGAGTCGCGCAAACCGAGCTTCGTTCCTCCAACCAGGAAACTGCGCGCGCAAGTGCACGGTGACCCGCGAGCCTGGTGCGGTAAGGTGCGCAAGCACGCTTGTGTCCGTGATATGTACGAGGTGCCGGCGGAATGCAGAGTGTGCGCGAAGGTTGCGATAGGCGTCGCGGCGCGGGACGACCACCGACCCGTTGGGCGCTGTGACTTGCAGCTCAACCCAGCTGTGGCACCCTCGGTACGAACCGTTGAGGTGCGACGCGTCCGTGGCCCACCCTTGGTCGTGCGAGTCACACTCGATGACGAGTGCCACGCACTGAGTGCGCGTGATCGCCGGATGCTCGAGCGCTGGTACCGTCAGTTGCAAGTATTGTACGTTCGCCGGCGCCGACACGTTGAGCGTTCTTGTCGTCTCGACTTCGTGGTAGAGGGTCAGGCGGTCAAGAATCGCGTTGATGGTGGCGACTGGGAGCCCTCTCGCCGCGTACGAGCACCCGAGGCGAAGTACGTCGCGCGCGGTCACGGTGCTGCGCGCGGGCAATGTTGCGGCCGCGGCGCGTCCAAGTGGAGATACGGTCGAGGAGTTGGTCGCGTCGACGAGCCAGAGGTCCTCTGTCGCGCCAAAGCCTGGTTGGTGCCGTGTGCAGAGAGCGGCGACGTCGCGTTCGCAAGCCGCGACCAAGTCGACTTCTGGCATGTCGATCCCGAGAACCACGGCGAGGCGCACGTACTTCTACGTGGAGAATTTAATAGTACGACAGATTAGTCCATCAATGGGTACGTTGAGCGTCGGCTGCTTTTTGCGTTCGAGCTCTTCGGTTAGCGCGCGCGCGTCACACTGGGCGCTGCGCAAGTCGTCGCAAAGCTGTGTGCGCTCGGCCTTGAGCTGGGCAATGTTGCGGCGCAGGGCCTCAAGATGAGCGACCTCGGTGTGCTGCTTGCTCGGGCTCGCCATTTTGATTTTGCCATGTTCATATGTTGTTCTTGTGTGTGCTCGTTAGGAAGGAAGGTATTGATAACATGTTGATAAGATCAAGGGTCCCTTGATAAGATCTTACGGTAGATCGGATCGACCAATCAGAATGGACCAACTATCACAATCTTGTACTAGAACTCTTCGAATTATCAATGCATAGTTTCATCCATTGATAAAAGTTCTACCGTACAACACACCTCAAAGGATGTATTTCCGCGATAAGATGACGCCAAATATCCCGATGAACCACTCGGCCATGCTAGCGATAAATGTCATGCAAATCCACGATATTTTATTCATATTTTTACTATCTCTACTGCTGTGTACTACGCCCCAAATGATTGCTACCTCACCCCACAAGGAAA